TTTTTATCAAATTCAACTTTTCTGCTTTTAGATACCAATTTTTTTTTTATTACAGGATCATAAAGATCATTATTATCATTATTATCTTCTGCTTGAGCTTGAACCTCTTCTGTTTTTTCTCTAGTTCTTATTTCCCCTTGTTTTACAGAAGATCTACTTTCCAAATATTCTTTATTATCTGCATCAATATTTTTACTATCAAGACTTATTATATTTGATGAATTTCTAATAATTGCAGATTCTAAAATTCTTAATAATCCTGTTTGACTTTGTGATTCTTTTTTTAATAAAGTATCAAAGTCAATATTAGAAATACTACTTGCTTTAGCTTTAGCTTCAGAGAGTTTAGAGGCTTTAGGGTATTGAGCTATCTTTTTTTTAAGAGGAGGGATTAAAAAATTTAGAATTTTATATATAAGACTTGATAATTTATATATTAAAAACTAGGAGAGGATAAGCATCTGATAAAAAAAAATCAGATGATAAATGACAATGCCCTTACTTTATTAAAAATTTTTTTTTATCTTCGCTTTTTATCTTCAGTACACAACTCTACTATTTGGCCATTTCATGTCACTAATTTTTTTTAATGACATTTTTGCCTTTTTTTGCCTGCTTTGCAGACAAAAAAGGTAAAAATGTCAGCAAAATAAATTAGTATCTGGAATTGCCAAATAGTAGAGAATAAACTAGCTTTTAAGACCTGGTTCTTGGCCAGGTTCAAGTTTTTAATTTTTTGCTAATTTTTAGGCCTCAACATTATTAATTCTTAGGTCTTAATATTATTTGCTCTTAAGATCTGGTTCTTAACTGGGTTCGAGTTTTTAATTTTTTGCTAATTCTTAGGCCTTAATGTTATTAATTCATAGGTCTTAATATTATTAGATCTTAGAACCCAGTCATTGCTTGGGTTTGAGGTTTCTATATTTTGCTAATTCTTAGGTCTAAATTATGATAACTCTTAAGACCCAGTTCTTAACTGGATTTTAGTTTCTAATTTTTTGCTAATTTTTAGATTTTAACATTCTTAACTTTTATATCTAACATTATTAGCTCTTAGAACTCAGTTGCTGCCCAAGTTCAAGGTTCTAATTTTTTGCTAATTCTTAGATCTTAATAGTATCTAAATTTTAATTTTTGCTAATTCTTAGATCCTAACAATTTTAGCTCTTAAAACTTGATCATTGTCTGGGTTTAAGTTTCTAATTTTTTACTAATTTTTAAGCCTTAATAATATTATCTTTTAACTTTAAATTATATTAACTCTTAGAACCCAGTTATTACCAGGTTCAAGTTTCTAAATTCTTAGGTCTCAATAATATTAGCTTTTAGGTTTATATTATATTAACTCTTAAAATCTAGTCATTGTCTGGATTTAAATTTTTAATTTTTTTGCTAATTTTTAGATTTTAATAATATTAGCTCTTAGGCTTAAATTATATTAACTCCTAGAACCCAGTTATTGTCTGAGTTCAAGTTTCTAATTTTTAATTTTTTAGTTTTTTAATTTTTTTTAAAGATTAATTTTTTTATTTTATTTTATTTTATTTATTTTATTTTATTATATTTACCAGAGTGCTATATCTCAAAAACATATTAAGTAAACAGGATTGGGTACTCTAAGTAAAAATGTTCAGAACTCCTGAAAACCTTACAAAAACTGAAAT